AGCTGTCCTGTCAAATAAAAGCAAAAAAAAACCTTAAAAGTAAATAACATTTGCAGTCCTAGACCCCCCTATTACTTCAATTTAAGGGTTAACAAACACAAAAGGCTGGAGCCGTGATGCACGCCTGTAGTCAGTAACACCAACTGTATACTGCTGAAAAGTGTTACAGGTACTTAACAGCTCCTTTTAAATTGCCCCAAAACAGGGACAAATGCTCCATTTTAATAATGTCATGCTTCAGAGGAAACGCAGTCAGAATGAAACAGCGCCTAAGAGCAAGAATGAGTTTATACAAGTACAAAAACAGTAAAAGGTGACACAGATAGGCCAACTGATACTCCGATTTAGGATTATTATACGCCAAACAAAAGATTGACTTGTGTTTTTGGGCTGATGTGATGAGATGTGTGTGCCTGTATCTGTAGGAGTGTATTTTGGCAGGGCTGATAGAACACTGCGCCACGCAGAGTCTGTCCTGTTCTGTGACACATTGCCTCTGTTCACCTGTCACACACGCACACACACACAAACCTAATGACAGGAACATGGTCCAAGCTGTTGGGGAAACGCTCCAGGTGCTGGCTCACATAGTGTAATTCCTTTGTATCTGTCCCTAATTCTGTTTATCTCTGTCCCCCTCTTTATTCCACTCTGTCTGTCTTTGTCTCTCTGCATCCGCCTGTTTGTTCCTCTGCTTTACATCAAAGCAACAAGTAACTTCTTTTCACTTTTTTTTCTTCTCCAGTCTTCTCCCTCACTGAGACCAACTGTGTGTGTTTTTTTTTACCGTTTTCTGGTGGTACGTTCCTCAAAGCATAAATGCAAACACACACAGGTGTACACTCGCATACAAATATAATATTTCCAGATGATTAACTGGTCCCACATTGAGATCTTCTTTCTTCTATCCAAATCCGACATGAACAGAATGTGCTTTGCATTCGCAGTGTGGAACAATGAACGCTGCAACAAATCCCTACAGTGTTAACAGCCACGGACACAATTTGCATGCAATTTTTCCTCAGGTGGTCAGAAACAGGTCTGCCAAGACGGGGACAGTTAGATATTTTTAGATAGTTTGTTGTTGATTTGTTCGTACTGTTTGGGCTCTACTTCTTTGTTTTACTGTTTTTTTAGAATTTAGTTTTTTTTATGTTATGCTCTGTAAAATAAGAAGTAGTTCTAATAACACTAGAAACAGAAGTATCTGTGGTACAGAGTAGTTGTTGTATCAGGTAAGGCTTGCATTCTCTCTCTATCCTCTCTCTTTTGTTTTGAATCTCTTTTTGTTTCTGTCTCTCCTTCCCCTGCTGCAAATACCTTCTAGTCCGGGGATTCAGGGAGGCAAGAGTATGTGTGTGTGTGAGTGTGTGTGTGTGTGTGTGTGCGCGTGTCCCAGGTCCCCATTCTAATAACAGAGAGTCTCCCAGTGAGTGCTGGGGCAGCTGAGTGCGCTCCCCTGGAACGCCACGGGGATCTACGGATCAAATTCACACACACACACACACACACACACACACAGAGCCATGGGATACATGGATCAGAGAGTACACACTATGACTTGACACAACACTCACAACTGACTGCAACAGCCAGACAATGGCAAACACACACATACACACACACACACACACACACACACACACACACACAGAGATAAACCCCATTGCCAGTTCAGCCACATCCACACCTTTCCATAATTCAGTTAGAGGGAGACAGTGAGGCTCTTAGATTCAGACAAAGACAAAGACAACATTATTCACAGACAGACTACTAAACACAGCTTGTTTCACACACACACACACACACACACACACACACAAACACACACACAAACACACGCACAGACACAGTCCTGATACCAACTGCAGGCATTAAACAGGCTGCTAAGCTATTCTCTGCTCTGCATTAACTACCAAAATAAAGACTGTATTCATTACTGTACCTCTGGGGGAAACTCTTTAAATATTTCCTCCGTTTCCAGGTATGGACAACATACAGTAGCTGCTGAGGAGGTGCTCCATACTGACTGCATACAAATGAATAACATGTTACTGATGCACTAGCTCTGATGTTGGGGAGTGGTGCAACTGTGTTCAAATGTAAAATGAAATAGCTCTACATTATATTGTACATGTCTGCCTTTCTGTCTGGCTATTGATTTCTCCATCCCTCTCTATTTCCCTCTCTAACCCTTCATCTGTCCATCCGTTGTGTGTGTGTGTGTGTTCTTTTAATTGTGTCTACGAGGGAACAGATCCTCGCTCGTGTTTGTGCTAGTGTGCGCGCGCGACTCAAATATTCAACACCGCTGGGACACAGGGAGAGGAGGAAGATTCGGTGGAGGGAATCAACACACAAACAAACGAAAGGAAGCCCCACATCCATCCATTTATTCATCTGACCAGCAATCCACCCATCTAGCGGCGTTTAAATATTTACTAGTGCTAAAGGAAATTGTGTAGCACAACAGACGCAAAGGCAGAAAACAAGAGATGATTGGGGAGGAGTGCAAGAGTGATGGATGGAGCGAGAGATAGGAGGAAGCACTGAGGACAGAAACTGCAGTATAGCACCCCCTGGAGGCTCAAAGCCAATGTGAAAATCAAGAAGTCTGTCAGGGATGATATACAGTTGATACGGAGCTGGATGACTATTTCAAACCAAGTATACTTCTACAAGAGAGAACCTCTCCAAAGACCATAAAAACAGCACTTCTTCCTTTATGATTGAATGTAAATGTTGGTGGTAAAACTCACTTTTTAAAAACATTAACACAAAAGCTGTTTCTACTGCCAAGCTAATTGCTAAAGAAGGAGAGAAAGAAAGAAACTAAAACAGAGAGAATGAAGAAAGTTGTGTGTGAAGTCTGGGAGCAAAGGCAGAGAGAGATCCAGAAGGACCTCACTGATCAGGGCCACAGCATTTCTTATTTACACACACACACACACACACACACACACAAGCAGACACACACCAAAACATCTCTTATTTACCAGCTTACGTCTGCACTATTTATGGGGCACTGGGGAGAGGCACAGAAGAGAGGAAGAGAGGAGAGGGGCTAAAATATGCATAGGGGCTGGTTCTTCTGGGACAGACGGGGGGAGTCGGAGTGAGGGAGGAAGGCAGAACGAGAGGGGGGAGAGAGACGGGAAAACAGAAAGTAAAAAATTGTGGTATGTATGTGCAAGAGATGGATGGAGAGGTGGAAACAAGTGATGGAGAGGGAAAGTGGAAGGTCTTTGTATGCAGAGGGAGGGACGGAGATGGGAAGAGGGACTGAAAGAGTGCAATCAGGAGGGAGGGAGGATGATGCAGCGACGTGTCCATGCAGCAGTGACCCCTTGGGTGTGTGTGTGCGCGGGAGAGAGAGAGAGAAAGAGAG